CGATCATATCCAATGAAGGTTGGTGGGATTATGGTATGAAGCAATACAATTCAAGTTCAAGATCCAAGTTCAAGTTTCATCCGCAAGTTTACCAAGTCAAGCTATATTGAAGACCTTCAAGCTTGGGTATATAGTTTATAGTGTTTGTAGTAGAGGTTTATACTTGTATGTTAATACTTTAAGCTCATATTAATCACACACGTATTTGTTGATTTTATCAAAATATAGATGTTTTTGATAAAATATTATTTTATTAGTTTATAGACTTTAATATTAGTTTATACATATTTTATTAAGTCTATAAAATCAGTTTATAAAGTTTCAAAACATGGTTTAGTCAAAATGTTAAAACAAGTGTGTTTCATTTTTATGTTTTGGACTATTTTGAAAAATAAAGAGTTTTCACATTTGGGAGGTGCTTTTTGAAATCCAGTTTTTGTAACATGTGTATTATCATGCCTATAATCATTTCCTAAAGTTTTACATTTTTCTGAATTTGTTTGCTATTTTTAAAGGCAGTTTAAAAATCATATTTCTACTTTAAACATGCTGTATATCTGTTATCAGTCGACTGGTCAGTCGACTGATGAAATCAGTCGACCGGTCAGTCGACTAAAGAAAGTGCCTGTAATTCAAAAAAGTTTTTATTTTGTTTCAGTCGACTGATCAGTCGACTAATGAGGTCATTGGTCGACTGACGAGTTCATCAGTCGACTGATGATGTGTTGCTGGCCTGTAACGGTCAGCTCATCAGTCGACTGATGAACAATATCAGTCGACTGACGGCATGATGTGTTGCTGGCCTGTAACGGTCAGCTCATCAGTCGACTGATGAACAATATCAGTCGACTGACGGCTTCATAACGGCTAGTTTTTTAGAATTTTTAGTTTCCATTATTTTTTCTTTTTGTGATGTTTTCTCTTGGTTTTAGAGGTTGTTTCATGAGCCTGTATATACCCCATGCCCTCATACTTCTGAGGTTCATCAAGAAATGTTTAAAACAAGTTTTACAAGGGTTTTAAAGTTTGTTTAGTGTGTTTAAAAGTTTGGTTTGTGAAAAAACTTTCACAAGAGCTTGAGGAGATCATTCATTGGTGTTTGAGCATTCAACTCTTCCCCCCCTCTCTTGTTATCATATAGAGAAGTTTTTCTAAACTCTTATCTAGCTATTTATTTGTTTGCTTTTCATTTCCTTAAAGCTAGATTTAGTTGAGTTTAGTTTGTTTTATTAAATCTCATTGTTACACACACCCACTTGAGCTTCTAGTATTTTCATACATAGTATAATTGGGGTTGTGAGAGATTGTAACGTTGAGTTATGCTTAATTGAGTTCTCACCTTATTTAGAGAACAACCATTTGTTGTAGAGAGCTTATTTGTGAGGATTCACTTTGTATTGCATTAGTACACCAAGAGGAGTGTGTGGTGAGAGACGGGGTCATCCTAAGAGGAGTGAGATAGGTGGTAATGCCTAGAGAAATGTTATAATTCCTAACACTTGAGGGAAATACGGGCTAGCGACCAACACTTGAGGTGGTAGTTAGTGTAGTTACATTATGAGTGATTATGAACGTTGATCGATGAGCGTTGAAAACCGACATTATGAGGTGTAAATGTTTTTTGGGTAAGCGTAGAAAACCCGGTGTGATAGTGGAGATCTCATTGAGGTGAGGAGCATAGACGTAGGTCGTGGGGACCGAACTCCGTAAACATATCGTTTGTTTGTGATTGCATTGACGTACTTATTTTTATGTTCATATCTTATATCGCCTTTGTATATTGCTGCTTGTTTATATTGCCCACTATCTAGTTTAGATTATTTACCCTGGTGTTACTCGTATATCCTTACACATATAATTATAATATATCATTCTTGCTGGGATATATTATTAATTAGTTTTAAATTGGCATAAATCGGATTAGATTAGCATAAACCCTATTCACCCCCTTCTAGGACTCTTTCCTAGTGGCATTAGGGTGCTTTCAATTGGTATCAAAGCTTGGTGCTCTTTGATTTAAGGTCTAATTGTCTTGAGTTAAAGATTCAAGTTATCTTTTTATCCAAGTCATGTAGATCGATGCAGCTCCACATTATCCAAATGGGACCGTATCCATTAGAGTGTTGATTGAGGTGAAGCTAGGCGAGCACGATAATGATTTGGAGGATACATGTACAGTTGAGCAGGATCAGAGACCGACAGCTCAGGTTCAGGATTCTATTGCGGTTCAGAGACAGAGGAGAGACATACGAATGCTAGCTAGGTATACAGACACAGTTGTTGCGTATGCACTTCCAGTGAAGAGGATGGGTAGAATTTGGAGGCTGATCTGTGGCAGGTGGCTATGCAGGAGGAGATGAAGTCTTTTCATAGGAACGACACATGAGATCTTGTCAAGCTTTCAAAGGGACGGAAGGCTATTGGTTGCAAATGGGTGTATACAAAGAAGGAGAGAATTGAAGGTACTCCCGTGAGATTTAAAGCTAGGTTAGTTGCAAAGGGCTATGCACAGGAGGAATGTATTGATTATAATAAGGTTTTTTCTCCGGTGGTGAAGCATTACTCGATTCAGATTTTGCTAACTTTGGTGGCACAATATGGTTTAGAGTTAGATTAATTAGATGTAAAAACAACATTTCTTCATGGTGATCTTGATGAAGAAATCTATATGACTCAGCCATTGGGATTCCGAGCTGCAGGGAAGGATAAATTAGTTTGTAGATTGAAGAAATCGCTATACGGTTTGAAGTAATCTCCTCGACAGTGATATAAACTATTCGATGGATTCATGATCGATCATTTGTACATTAGGAGCCAGTTTGATTCTTACATGTACTATCACAAGTTGAATGGAGGTGCGTACATTTATTTATTGCTTTATGTCGATGACATGTTAGTTGCTTCTACTTCCAGATCCGTGATAGATAGATTGAAGATTCAACTTTCGAGCAAGTTCGAGATGAAGGATTTGGGTGAAGCTAAGCACATTTGGGGATGGAGATCGACAGAGATAGAGACAAGGGTAAATTTTGTTTGACACATATGGCTTATTTGATAAAGGTTCTACAGCGGTTCAATGTGAGCATGAAAATGAAGCCAGTTAGTGTACCATTAGGAGCCCATTTGAAGCTTTTAGCTGACCTTTTGAAGATAGTTAAAGATAGAGAGTTGATGTCGAAAACTCCATATGCGAGCGCATTTGGAAGTTTGATGTACTCCATGGTTTATACGAGGCCAGATTTGTCATAGGCAGTAAGCAAGGTCTCTAGATACATGCACGACCCAGGTCCTGGTCATTGGGATACCGTGAGAAGAATTTTGAGGAACATTCGAGGTACTCTCAATGTTAGTTTGGTTTTTGAACGGGACACTAGTGGTAGGCAGCTATGTATTGGATATGTATATTCGTACTATGATAGAGATTTGGATAAACGTCGGTCGACGACAGGGTATGTGTTTATTTTGACCTTGCGCCGATGTGTTGGAGATGCACCTTGCAGTGTATGGTGGCTTTGTCTACGATGGAGGCAGAGTATATGGTGATTACGGAGGTTGTTAAGGAGGCGATTTAGCTTCGAGGACTTTTGGAGGATCTTGGTGTTTCGCAGCGATCCGTTACTATTTATTGTGATAGCATGAGTGCTATTTATTTGGTGAAGAATCAGGTCTTTCATGCGAGGACGAAGCATATCGATGTTCATTATCACTTTGTTTGAGATGTTCTTGAAGATAGGGATGTGAAGATTGTGAAAGTAAACACAAAAGACAATCCAATGGATATGCTCACAAAGGTGGTTCCGAGTAACAAGTTTGATCATTGTAGAAACTTATTGCAAATTCGTGATTGTTGAGGTCGTTTGTGGCCATTTAGATAAACAACGGACGACTTGATCCCTTTGAGAGAGAGGGTACGTAGGCAACCATATTTGTGCAGCCAAATTTGGTGAGACGACGCAGTGATGATCATGTTTGGTGTCGGCTCAGTTTTGGAAAAACTTCACCGAGGTGGAGAATTGAAGAAACATCGAAGAAGAACAGGATTTTTGAAGTGCACGGTGTGGCTACGGTCGACTGATAGACTGTAGGAATACAGGGTTTGAAACCCTGTTCTGGTCGGTCGACCAAACACAGTCAATCGGTCGACTGAAAACGTGCACGATTACAGGGTTTGAATCTTGTTTCTGGCCGGTCGATCGCGAGAATGTGACCGGTCGACCGTGAAGCGGGTAATTGGGCTGTTTTGGTTTTCCTAGTTGGTTTTGGATTGGTGTTTGATATAAATACAAACACGTTTTTTAGGGTTTCTTAAGCAGAGAAAGGAGAGACTTTTGAGCACTTAGAGAGGAAGATATTGTGAGGGAGTTAAAGGTTTTGGTTAGGGTTATATTTGAGTGATTTTGTGAATTGTAACTCGTTCTATTTCTCCTTCATATAGTAAAATCTCCCCATCCTCTCCCCGTGGACGTAGGGAATTGTTGAACCACGTAAATCACTGTGTTTGGTTTGATTTGTGTCGTATTTGGTGGATTGCACTCGTGATTTGTTTGGTTCTCTTCTCTCATCGTACGCCGACTCGTTTGGTTGTCGAACACACTTCGGCACGACGCGCAACAAAGCAAACTAAGTTAAATGACCAATTATACCAAAGTTATGAAACATAGATGGATCAGAGAATCGCCCAACCCTCGCAGTTTTACTGCCCTAATTCCTAGTATAGCGTTCTTTGTTTTCTAAATGTGGCAATAGAAGAGGAACAAACTAGAAATTAGCAGCCGCAATACCAATTTTATTTAAAGGGCGGAACAATGTGAGAGATGTCCCATCTTGTTGTATCTCTAGATATTCACTTCTATTACTTCTATGCAAAGAAAAACCAATAGCCGAACTCCGGAACCAAACAAAAGCCAAGCACTGCCCAAAGCCCTCTCTTCCTAAGTTAACGAGTACAAATACTCAAGTAAAGCAACTTCATTATCCTCATCAACAAAGATAATTAACAATCAAGAAATATGAAGTCTTCACCCTTTAACATGATTTTAGCAATAGCATTTCTACTTAGTCTAATGGCAACTGCTGCTGCTGCTTCTGCTTCTGCTAATCCAAGATGCAATCCCACCACCTACGAACCTGGCAGCGACTTAGAAGCCAACGTCTTCACAGTTCTTGAGAGCATACGCACCGCAACGGCCAGTACCCCTGACCGTACTTATACGATACAGCTGCCTCATGTATTTGGTGCTTCTATGTGCATCTCCGATATTGACGTTGGAGATTGCATCTCGTGCATCAATGATTCTGTCGATGCCGTTAAGGACCAATGCGATCGTTCCATTGCAGCAACCATCTCTGCGGGTGATTGTGGCATGTTCTATAATGTTCAGTAGAGAACTGCTGCAGATTTCTTTTATGTGATCGTGTTCATGTTTGTGATGTGTGTTATGTGTCACTTTCTTTGTTTTGTGCTTGTACGATTTGTGTTTCATGGTTCATGTACCATCTCATGTATGTTTAGTCCGTGATTTTGGTTGGAAATAAATAATAGTTGTTTGGAGTGTTATGCATCCATTAATGGGTTCAGATACGCGTTTGGCTAGCGAAAGGCGTGAGATTAAATTTAGTCACGCATTGGAAAAATAATTAGACATGATTAATCCTTTTGAATAAATTGGGTCTAAGTAGATTTGTCTCATTTATCTCTGCTCATAAACATTTGCTATCTGTTAAAGGAACATATTATAAGATATTGTTGAGATATTGGAAGTCATGATTGGATATGGTTTTATCTCATGTCTATTTTGTGATATCCTCCTAACCTCTATTTAAGAGAGGTTAAGGATAAATGAATAATATCTTCTTGACCTCTTTCTATTTCTCTACATGATATCAAAGCCATCTTTTTGATCCTAAATAGACCTTCTTCATCGTCTACATCGAGCTGCCGAGCGGGTTTTTACCGAAAACTTCGTATTCCCCTAGGAGGCCTCGGCATCGATTCACTATCCATTAGTACTGTCCATCAAGTTGTTCATCACCGGTTTACTGTTCATCAAGTTAATGTTCATCCATGCGTTAGTACTGTTTGTGTATGCGGATTACTATTCACCCAAAGATTACTATTTGCCATCCACTCCGATCAGAGCCGATTCCGCTCTCATCTGCCTTCATCAGCCTGTACCTCATTGACCTCATTAATCTTTGCTCGAGCCCAAGGTCAACTCCATCTCTTGGATCATTTGTTTGTCATATCCTTAAAAAAAGAATCATTTGTTTGTGAATCCTTCAAGGAAGGATTATTTGTTGTTAGATCCTAGAAAGGATCGTTCGTTGTTGAATCCTTCAAGGAAGGTTTATTTGTTGTTAGATCCTGAAAAAGATTATTTGTTGTTGAATCCTTCAAGGAAGGATTATTTGTTGTTAGATTCTGCAAAGGATCGTTCGTTGTTGGATCCTTCAAGGAAGTATTAATTATTTGTTGTTAGATGTTAAAAAGAATCATTTGTTGTAGGATCCTTCACTGATCATTTGATTGGTGACGCCCTATAGTGGATCAGCTGACTTGAAGACATCCAAGTGAAGGATAAGTATATATCAAGACTACTTTGAGTTTTTGAAGCATCATCACAAATTAGAGTGTGTGCACTTTATTTATAATAAGCTCGAAATGTATGATATACATGCTCCAGCTCGATGACAACTTGAGGGGGAGTGTTGAATATATTATGAAATGTTGTTGAAATATTAGGAGCTATGATTAGATATGATTTTATCTTATACTTATTTTATAATATCCTTCTAACCTCTATTTAAGAGAGGTTAGAGTTAAATGAATAATATCTTCTTGACCTTATTCTATTTCTCTATACAATCCAACAATTGTATTATTTTGCAGCTCGTAGTTTTTTTGTTAAGGCACCTGTCTAGTTGCATAGCTCAAAAAGGCTCGAAAAGTGATATACTAAGAAGACCTTTAATACATGCCACCAAAAGTCAGCAAAACTAACCTCAGAAGTGTTGGCTATGTTATTAAGAAAAGTCAATTTTGCCTTTGTGAATAGTCCAACATAGAAAAATGAAATGAATAGTTGGTGGTTTATAATAGTTCTCATCTTATTGGACTTTGAATAGTGTTTTGGGTTTTGTATTGTTTGGGCTTTGTATAACACACGCGCGCACGCGTCGCCGCTATGCGCGCGCGTCACGCCACGCCGTACGCACATGTTTTTGTTTTCTCTGGCTTTATTTTGCATATTTTTCATGTATGCAACGACTGCAAGTTTATTGCGTAACAGTCAATATTATGGCGAATGTTACCGAATTGATTGTTGGATTTTGTAACGGTTCTCTAAACCCCCTATATAAGCAGCCTTTCTCATTCTCGAAATACACACAAAAAATTCTCTTCTTTCTCTTCTCTCCTATATAGGCGGGTTATTAATCTTCTAGGACAGTGTTTACACGACTGCTCCCGACCAGGCCAGACTTTCTGATTCCTTTTTACATTTGGATTTATTTGTTAATTTACATGCTATAACTTAATAATATTTGATTTATATCTAACAATATAGAAGATTAATCAGTTTATAGCTTTGTTTTAAATTTAAAAAAACGTACTGTTCACTCAGGGAAAAAACAAAATTTTTACTGTTCATCCAAATTTATAATTGCAGTAATTAGTTGTTTATTATTGTTGATAATTATTGCTTAAATAATTACAGTTAATTGTCTTATTCGTAATTAATTGTTAATTTGTTATAAATATTTTTCGAAATAAAATTACTTGATTTTTTATTCGGAAATTAATTCAAAGAAAAAACATTATATATATATATATAATATATATATATATATATTATATAATATATATATATATATATATATATATATATATATATAATATATATATATATATATATATATATATATATATATATATATATATATATAGGGAGAGGTTCTAATAAACCTCCTTAGCCTAAAAAACTAAAAACCTCCTTCATCCATGGTAGGATTTAGTCAAACAGTCAACAGACACATGCATTAATTACTCATTAAACACATGCATTAATTACATCAACGAGCGAATCCAAGATTCACTGTAGTGAATCTGGATTCACTGCAGTGATTCGAGATACGTTGAGGTAGTGAATCTGGATTCACTGCGTGAGGTAATTAATAAGGTAATTAATGCATGTGTTTGTTGACTATTTGACTGAATCCCAGCCATTGGATTCATCTAGATCAAATGGATGAAGAGTTTTTTTTATTTTTAGGCTAAGGAGGTTTTTATTAGAACCTCCCTAATATATATATATATATATATTATATATATATATATATAATATATATATATATATATATATATATATATATAATATATATATTATATATATATATATACTATATATTCTTGCAATTATTGCTTAGATTGTTCTGTTCTGTTCAACTTGCATCTTATCCTTTAAAGTCATAATTTGCTAAATAACTAGTCCAGTGGTATTGACAAAACTCTTTCGTTCCTTCAGATTCTAAAAATACCTAGACTAGTTAACTTAAATCAGACTTATGGCTAATCCTGATCATTCCAAGAATGTCAAACCTGATAAATTCACCGGTGTTAATTATAAAGGTGGGCTAATCAGATGAGATATTGGCTCACTACCTTACGTCTCCTATCTGCCATAGACACTCCCGAGTCTTCATCTAGTGGATCTCAACCCTCTAACTCTCCTGTGTATGGTTCTCAACTTGAACTTACTCCTTCCACTTCTGGTTCTGGTGCTAGCTCCCTTTCTAGCTCTATGAAACCAGAAGATATCAACTATCATTGTTATCTTAGGATTCTTAGTACACTTGCGGACAACCTTTATGACATATATTATGAGTTCAAAAGTGCTAAAGACCTATGGAATGCTCTTGAAGTAGAATATGGCTATGATGATGCCGGAATTCTGCGTTTCACCTCCTCTTCCTTCAATAAGTTCATGATGGTTGATGACAAACCCATAAATAAACAAATTCATGAATTCCAAGATTTCATTCGTCATCTTCAATCAAAAGAAAACAACTTTATTGATGACTATAAAGTTTCTTATCTGATTGACAAACTTCCTCCCTCTTGGTCTAGATTTTCTAGAGATCTGTAACAAGCAAGGAGATCTAACATTAACTGAAGCTCTCAAGGCTATTCACATTGAAGACCAGCATAGGCAAAATTCCAAACCCAAGTCTAAAATAAAAGCTAAAGTGAGCTTGGTAGAGGATACGCCTAAATCTAGGAATTTTAAACCGAAAGGGAAGAAATTCAAGAAAAACTAGAAGTCCTTCAACAAATCTTCATCCAAATCAAATCCTAACTCTTCCAGCCATAAGTCTGATGGAAAGTTTTGCTATGTCTATGGTAGAACCAACAACCTGGCTCCCAACTACTTCTATCGGAAGAAAGAACTAGCCAAACCTGCTCCAAAGAGAAATGGATCTAACAAAGTTAACATGATTGAAGAAAATCCAAATTCCTTCAAGTTAGCCTCTTCATCCTATCTTGTAAATTCTCTTACTTCTTCCGCTGACTGGTATTTGGATTCCGAAGCTAATATTCATATTTGCAATGATCGCTCTTAGTTTTCAACTTACTAGGAATCACGTGGAGGAAGCATAAGCTTAGCAGATGACTCCACCAAACAAATAATGGGAAGTAGATGCATAGAGCTCACCATGACCTCTGGGAAAACTCTGAATCTGCAAAGCGTTCATCATGTTCCTTCTCTCCGTCGGAACCTTATTAGTGAATCTCTTCTCCTTAGAACTGGCTATAAGATTATAAAAGAATCCAATAAATTTGTGATTATAAAAAACAATGCATTCGTAGGAAAAGATTTTACTTGTAATGGCCTTTTCAAACTCAATGTAATCAATTACAGTTCTAATAAAATTCCTGGGTCTTCTGTTGCACAAATTATTGAATCTTGTGATGTTTGGCATGGACGACTTGGACATGTAAACTTCCAAACGTTGCAGAGAATGATTAAACTAAACCTTATTCCTAAATCTTCTCATGATCCCTCATCTAAGTGTGAGATTTGTGTTTAAGGGAAACACACTAAAAACCCTTCAAGTCTATAACTAGAAACTCCGAACGTCTTGAATTAATTCATAGTGATGCGTGTGACTCGAACCGTATTCTCACCCGAGGGGGTAGGAGATATTTTGTGACTTTTATAGATGATCACTCTAGATATTGTTATACCTATCTTCTCAAAACTAAATATGAAATTTTAGATAGGTTTGAGGTGTATAAAGCTGAATCCGAGAACCAACTGACAGAAAGATCAAGATTCTAAGATCTGATGGGGG